GATAATTTTAGAAACCTATCTGAACTACAGCCTACATGGAAAATTACCGTTGCTCTGTTTTCTTGCGGAAGTTTTGTTTTGCGCTCCAGATTTTGCACTCGAAGAGTATCCTCCAGAGATGCGATGAAGTCTTGTGAGGGTTTCTTCGCCTGGATGGCAAAAAATCAGATTCAATCATTAATAAAAGAGTGTTTACCAAGGGAGGAGGTTTCCTGAGCGCTTGTTCATTTACCACTTTACCAGCTACTATTATTGGAATTGGATCACTAATCTGAAGCTTTGGAGCTATCGGTGGCAAGCGAATCTCTGAAAAAATGATAATTTTTTTGTCAGCATTTCTACTTCACGTGTCGATGATAGACTGACAGATTGTTGGTAGGTATAGGTTAAAGTCATCAAGTTTATCAGATAAGTGCTTTTCATTCTAGACTCCAGTAATTGTAACCTAATATGACTACTGCACAACATGCGCGGAACTTGTCGACTTGTGTACTAGAAGTCGTTAGTTTCCAAATATATAGCCCTGTTTCCTTCTCTTTTTAGTTTGATTGGTTGAGTTGAGTAGTGGACAAACATCAAGAGTTTGATACCATAAAACGAGTTTTACGTTCAAATTACTAGTAAGAAGTCGTGAGTTGCCGCGCGCTGTGTGCATATTCACCTAATGAGTCACAAATGGCTCGTCTCCAAATCCCTTCGTTTTTACATTATGCAACGAGATCTTTAAAATCATTTACAACCTTACCATTGTCCTTTGGGAGTATCCTCAATGACTTTGGAGGATTCATGGGGACATATTCTGGCATGGGAGGTGGCTCTTTACACACCGGTATCGGTGAATCCAAAGTCAAAGGTACCGGAGGTCGTGGTGCTTGTCGAATTGGCTGGCACGCTGAAGTCAAGATTTTTATATGGGACCACTAAAATCCTGCGGAACTCACTGATGGTGGGCAGCTGCATCAGATTTGTTCGGGACGGCTTGGATGGAAGTGTAAAATGGTTTGGCATACTGGTAGTAAAGTCTGAGGCTGGTGAATCGGGAGGGCAAAGGCGAGTATGTAAGGAGGGCAGGGCTCTGAAAGAAGCAAGAGGAACTTTTTTAAGGATTTGCAAAGGGACACCGAAAATATAAATAGCAACAATTGTCGATGGTTCAAGTGCACAGCCATACTCTTCTCAGCGGTCTCTTTGTGCAATTTTGCACCGCTTTTGCAATCATTGTAGCAGGCAACCAAATTCCCACTCATGTTAGGGACCATTGAAAGGGCCAGTTGTAACATGAAAACAAGCACTCAGAAGAAAAATAATGATAAATCTCGGAATCGCCATTGGATACAGATTCAAAAAGTAGTGCATTTGCACAAATCCACTGCTGAAGTGAGAACAGCGGCAAGCATGAATTTGCAAAAAAATAACATCTGTCAAATCTATAAAATAGAAGAAAAA